CGGAAACTCCAATACTTCGGCCACCTGGTGCAAAGTGCCAACTCGTTGGAAAAGACCTTGATGCTAGGAAAGATTCAGGGCAGGAGGAAAAGGGGGCAGCAGAGGGTGAGTTGATGGACGCCATCACCAACTCAATGGACATGAGTTTAAGGAAACTCCGGGAGACAGTGAAGGACAGGGAAGCCTTGTGTGCTGCAGTCCATGAGGTCACAAAGAATCCAACATGGCTTAGCAAATAAACAACAGCAGTGTGCAATTATTAGTTTGTATGTTATACTGCAATAAATCACAGTATTTCATATACATAGTGAAACTGAAAGTCACTCAGTCATGTCGACTCTTTGTGACCCCATGGATTATACAATCCATGGAATTCTCCAGGCCAGAATACTGAAGTGGGTAGCCTTTCCCTTCTCCAGGGGATCTTCCCAACCCCAGGATCAAACCCAGGTCTCCCATATTGCAGGCGGATTCTTTACCAACTGAGTTACAAGGGAAGTCTAAGAATACTGGAGCGGGTGGCCTATCCCTTCTCCAGTGGATCTTCCTGACCCAGGAATTGAACTGGGGTCTCCTGCATTGCAGGAGTATTCTTTACCAACTGAGCTATGAGGGAACCCCTCATATACATATTCATATACATCCTGTGAAAGTTACTCAGTCGTGCCTGACTCTTTGTGACCCCATGGACTACATAGTCCATGGAATTATCCAGGCCAGAATACTGCAGTGGGTAGCCATTCCCTTCTCCAGGGGATCTTCCCAACCCAGGGATTGAACCCAGGTCTCCTGAACCCAGGTCTCCCACATTGCAGTAGGATTCTTTACCAGCTGAGCCACCAGGGAAACCCATTAGTATATACATGTTTATTCAAATTTCCTTTTCAACTTTAAAATTATGTCCAAGTGTATGTAACATAAGGCTATTATATCAGATACTTAAAATACTTGTCAAAAGCTGGCTGAGGACGTCATAAAATATGATTTTCAAACTTCCCACATTTATGTGGAATTTGTGTTTAGTTTATAAGATGGACACTACTAACAGTTTTATTAACAAGGGAATAGCAGCCAAGCTAGTTTATTTTTGAATCGTCAAAGCTTCCTAAGAGCATTTGTGTTGCATCTACAGGAATGGTTGGTGGTGAGATGCTGGCCTTAGGCACATTGGGAAGAGGATCTAGAGAGATTAAGTTGTGCACAGCAGACATCAATAATAATAAGTCCTGACAGAAAAGAATGGGTGAATGTTTACTGAGTAGAAGCAGCTTCCCATGTTCTTTTCAGTATTCATCCACTTCTATATCTAACATCGCTTTGGTCTCTTCCAGTTCCACTAATGTTGCAATCCTTCAAAGACCAGTCTAACCGTTTGGCTTCAGCTGAATGCTCCCTAATATCCTGTAGGTAAAAGAGCACTTCTTGTTTTGAACTCTTCAATTAATATAAATGAGATAAAAATAAATTACTGAACAAATGATATAGCGATTTAGTTTTTATTGAACAAAAATACATAGTTTTATGAATTACAATCATGACTGATGTATTTATCCACCAAACTCCAGACTAACTCTCACAGTGAACTACATATCATGAACTTTCAGATATTCATAGATTAATACAAGTATTTCCAATAGCTGGTGATAACATAACAGTTACATTCAAAATGTAAAAGTCCTGCAGTTATTAGTTGCCAGTCATGTTCATTTAGATTCAAAAGTTATATGTATTATATTTTAAACTCAACTGTATAAACATAAAATGAAAATTTAAAAAATGAATCGGCTAATAAATTTAAGAAAGCTTTTAAGTGGCATGACAAAATTGAACAGCATATGTATTTCTTCATTAATTCATATATTTGGATTGAGGGTAGAAGGAGAAGGGGATGACAGAGGATGAGATGGTTGGATGGCATCACCAACTCAATGGACATGGGTATGGGTGGACTTTGGGAGTTGGAGTCAATATGTATTTGACTTGACTTGAAATATATACATATATTTGATTACTACATTCAAAATTTACTTTTAGGTAAAATCAAGAGCAAGTATGCACACTAGAAGCCTACAATTTACTTTAGACAAGAAAATGATATAAAATATGGTAATACGCATCTATTAGTTAGATGCAAAACAAATGGATGTAGATGATAGTAGGTGAGGGGCAGCATGAGAAGTTCTGAGAAGGGAAAGTAAATGTGTTCTGACATGTTAACGAGTCTTCTGGCAATATAATGAAAAAAATAACGCACAAAATACTCAGAGAAATTGAGGGAAGAATGGCATGAAAACACACTTGGAGTTGAGAACACCAGGCTTAATCTGAAAGGCAATGAGGAAACTGAACTCTCTAGAGCAGATTCTATAGTTCTACTGGGGAAAAAAAAAAGTAGAAATCATGTGTCATACCCTTTTTGATTCAAGTCCCCAGTTTTTCACGCCAAATGCACATATTAGCATACAATTTATTTATGCATTCATTCAATGTGTATTCAAACATCCACAGGAATAACATGTCATGCCTGTCCTTGTCTGTGACATCTGTCTAATTTATGAGGTTGAAGTTATGAAGCCTTTTTTAACAAGGTTATGCAAAGATACATAAATATTTTTTGACTTAAATAATAATTCATCCATTAGAGACATGCTTAAAAACTGTAGACTCTGAAAAAATGTCCTTCTAGAAGTTTAAATAAAAGGAAACACAATAATTAACCTAAAATACCTCTTAAAAAGATGTTCTCTATTATGGTTTTAATTCAAACATATTATTTAAACTGTCAACATCATAATTAATATGTTACTTAGTAATTATGAGCATTATTTAGCATGCTAGCATTGGCATGACTGTGAGAGTTCATTATGAGGCAGCTTAAGTGGACATGATCATCCCATATATTGGGAACTTACAAAATGGAACCAGATTTCTTCTCTCCACTTATTTTGGACAGGTGTAAATATAGTACATTTAATAGTTCAAATACAAGCAAGAATCTTGCCTCCATGGAGAATTAACCACAGCTATTACAGTTAACTGAAAATTCTTATTTGAGAGCCCCCCAGTAGGGCTTCTATAAATGATTTACTAAGGGTGCCTAAAGTAATTTTACTCTGCAGATTTGTCACTTTACAGATGCATCCTATTTAATTCAGTAGCTCCAGAGGATCCATTTTAACAATCTTTTTTTGCAATAAGATTAAGGGTTTATTTTGGAAGCCATTAGTAATATCAATGAAAGGATTAAGACAGTTTTTTTTGTGTGAAAAATATAGAGATCAAAGAGCTAGAGAAGTTAATGCTTCTCTACATTTTAAAGAAAAACATAATCACAGAAAAGCAGAAATTCCTCCTCAACCCACTCCCAAAAAGGATTCTGAAAAATCCTATGTTTGGTTTTCTAACCAAAACAAATAAAATACAAACTTAGTCATGATGCCAATTCCATACTACTTGTGGAAAAAACTGCTCTTGAAAGATGATATTAACACCTATATGCAACAAGATGATTATATTTCTAATCACCAAACTTGTCTCAGATGGAATTCCTAATTTTAAAATCTTATTTCCCATTAACACTCACCTTACCATGAGCCAGCATTTTAGAAACAGACAAATAAGCCCTCAGATTTGCCCAGAGACCATTAACTATCCTTCCATTATACCCCAGATGACCTATCATCAAAATCCTGGCATGTTATAATTTCTCTGAATAATTTGCACAACAGAAATTTATAAAACTATAGACTTACGTATCTGAATTTTAAGTATCAAGAAGGTTAAAAATAAAGCAAGCTTTTGTAAGTACAGGAAAGACAATCCTGAAAATCACTGTTTGTGCAATTATAATTCAATTTATTTTTACATATGGTATGATTTCCTCCATATTTTAAGAAATCCTTAAACAAAAGAAATGCCTGAATAGAAATTCGAATTAAAAACAAATTCACTAAATTGTTTATTAAGTTTTTTAAAATTACTTTGTGAGTACGTAGTCAGACAGGATGAAGGCTTGTCAAAGATAAATCACTTTGTTACTGATTTCTGATAAATCATAATAGTGAACAATTATATGAATGATATTTAGTATTTAACTAATTTATTAAGAAATACTTTGACCACCTGTTGTGAAGAGCCAACTCATTGGAAAATACTCTGATGCTGAGAGAGATTGAGGGCAGGAGGAGAAGGGGGCAACAGAGAATGAGATGGTTGGATGGCATCATCAACTCAATGGACGTGAGTCTGGGCAAACTCAGGAACACAGTGAAGGACAGGGAAGCCTACAGTCCATGAAGTTGCAAAGAATCAGATACAACTGAATGACTGAATAACAACATTAAGAAATTTTAATATAAACTTTCTAAACTTCAAATTTGAATTAACCAGTCTCTTTATAATTGAAGATTTTCTTTCACTTATCCAATGATATATCATGGTATTTTAATTTATATTTATTTTAATATTATAATAATTCAGATAGTTTAAATGTATTAAAAGAATTAATTCATATGCTAGAGATCTAAGGAAAACTTTTAAAATTGCTTTCCAAGGTCAAATAATCATTAATCAATATTCTTTACCATATTTTTTTTATAAAATTGCCCATGAATCTAAATTTTACTTGCTTTTCCCTACACCAATGGAAAAGCATTAGCAGTAACATATTTTTTTCTGTAATTTCTGGAGAAAATTATATAATTCTGTTTTTGAAAACTGAAAAGTTAATTTGATTTCTCAACTAATGAATCTAGGTCTAGAGAATGCAGAAAGAACACATGAAAAAATAAATAATCTAATACATTTTAATATTTTCCAAGTGCCATTTGCAATTTCTTCCACTAGCATTTTAGTGATACAGGGAACAGTTTGATATTGAAAAGGCATTGTAAAGTATTCTAAAGTACAGAATTTTATGTTCTTACCTATGCGTAATACATCACACAGATGCAGGTTGAGAGTCTACACTAAATGCAGAAAGAATATTAGAAATATCTTACCTTTGAGACATAATCTTATAGGCATCAGGTAGATAGCATCGTATATTCTCCATCTGAGCAGGGTCAGAGTCACAAATTTTGTCATCGGTCCTCCCATAGTTGGCACTTTCAATCATGATGACATCTGTTCCCGGACAGCGGAGCTCAATGGGGTAGCTCTCACAGGAGAGCTCTCTGCGAACCACAGCCATCGGGATGGGGGCACGGCTGAAAGCTACCAAAAGGAGGAGGAAGAAAAAGAAAACATCTTTGTTACATACAAAGGAAAACTATGTGTTTTTGGTTTACTAATACCAAGGAATAAAGCAATTTCAATTCATAAATTGAACTAAAAATGGAGCATTTCACTTCAGGAACTTGACAGGATTTTAAAAAATCCAATTATACAAGTGAACTTACTTGCAAAACAGAAAGAGACTCACAGACTTAGAAAGTGAACTCATGGTTGCCAGTGGAAGGCACAGTTAAGGACTTTGGGAAGCAAATGTACACTCTGCTGTATTTAAAATGGATAACCAACAAGAACTTTTGTATAGCACATGGAACTCTGCTCAATGTAATGTGCCAGCCTGGATAGGAATGGGATTTGGGATAGAAAGGATACATGAATATGTATGGATTAGTCCCTTCACTGTTCCCCTGAAACTATCACAACATTTTTAATCAGCTATACTCCAATACAAAATGCTTTTGATGTTAAAAAATAAAATAAAATTTAAAAAATCTAATTATAACAATTATTTTTTAAAAACCTAGTCTTGCATTTTGTCTGTTTTTTCCCCTTATAAATGGAAACAAAGCACTCTGGATTTTCTAAAGCACTCACTGGTAGATGAACTAAAGACTATACAGAAATATCATCCAACTTGTAATACAAGAGTATCAAAAATCAAATTAACCTCAGGAATACCGTATCTGTTTCATTTTTCTATGGAAACCGTTACCCCTCTCCAAAAAAGTACTTTTCTTGAACTTATATATACTTACTTAAAAAGGCCATATATTTCAATTTTTAAATTGTTTTATTGTTTCAAGAAATAATTAAAATAAATCAGTATACGTTTTGAGTTAGTGATAGAAATAGTGAATGTTCTTTTAGAAGATAGAGATTTATAAGGACACAAATTACAATTCCTTCAGGTCCCTTGATGCATCTATCTTTCAATGTCAGGAGGTAACCAGTTAACAATGTGGTGACCTTCTTATCAAAATTGTCTACAGAAAAAAACATTGTATTTTTCTTCCCTTCCCTTTTTAAATTTTACTTAAGTAACTTTCAATCAGGTAGTATCACACTAAACATAGTGCTTGATACACTGATTTATTTTACTTATTAATTTAACAATATATGGTGGAAATTTTTCATTTATAGTTGAATCTCACATTTTTAACACCTGCATTGCATATACATATACACAAAAAATGTTATTTAATTGGTCTTATGCTGACAGGTACTTAGAAATGTCCCAGGGTTTTTGTGTCATAATATTGTAAAGAAGTACAAACCTGTGTACTTGCCTATGATACTTTAGAAAAAACTATAATTATCTAAATATATTTTATGGTATATGTCTATAAATAAAATTTATAGGGGGTAAATATATATGAAGTTTGACAAATATCACCTACTAAATGTCCAAAAAGCTTAATATAAATGGACACTTTTATCAGCAGTACTTTCTTCTTTAAAACTACAGATTACCAATTCTTTCATATTTTGCCAGTGATAAATAATGATATAACAATCTGTATTTTAATTTTCACCATTTTATTTATACAATGAAATATATTGTCATATGCTTATTGATCCTCCACATATATTTCATTTGTGAACTACTTGCTCACATATATAGTTTGTAATTGCAAAAGTTTTCGCATAGCAAGAAAATTGAAATTTTGTTCTTTGTGTTTTTCTTGTTTGCTGTTTGGTTTCAGATATATGCTGTGAATATATATTTCACTTTCATACAGCAAACCGTCTATCTTTTCATTTCAGATTTAACAGTTTCATAATCCAAGACTGTGAACATAATCAGTACATTATTGTAAGACAGTCAAATGTTTAATTGGAATAACTCAACAAGTCTTTTTTTAAAGGCACATGACTGAAATTCCAAAATTAAGTGTTTACCAACCAATTATTAAGTTGATATCCACATAAGAGAATTAATTATAGAGATAAACACATGATAGCATTAACTTTTAATTGATGATTAATTAACTCTATGTGTATATACATAAAAATGTATTTAGAGAAATACATTCAACTTTTCTTATGGCTTTAACATGAAGTATGAAACCCGAGAAGCAAAGAAGAGAGGAGAGAAACAAGAAAGTATAAAAAGAGTTGTAATGGGGAAATGAGATTTTATTACTATAAACATTTTCACTTGAAACAGAGAAAATACTGATTTGTTTTATGAAACCACAACTCATTTCTAAAGAAACTGACATTAGTTTTTATCTCATTTCAATACTACTTTGGAAAAACCATAAACACCCCCAAAGACCCCATGCATAACTTCCGAGTAAGTCACTCAAGCCACACTGTACAGTTAATTCCATTCTTTTCATTCAGCTTCTTTCTTGTTCTGTTCTCCATCACTTTTAAACACAGAGACAGATACACACAGCAAACACACACAGACACGTATCTAGCACAGCCACAGCACTATTCAAAGAGAATGAATATAGAGACTGGAGGTAACATTATTTTTAAAGTTTGATTTTGAGTCAATATTTGCCAGAGTAGTCTCACAACAGACACTGAATTTCTAAAATGTGCATTTCTATGGCTCCTAATATTACATATATATAATTTAGAAATTAGACACTTATTTTTAAACCTGAAGTTCTTTTTAATACTGAGATTCTTTCAAGGAAAAAGACATTTTCATTAATGTATACTAATATTTTAAATAATAAAATCATTGAACAATAAACCTACTCCAATTTTGGAATCTAGTTTCATAACTTTGATCAGTTAAACTAAAATAATAGACAATTTTTTGCTTGTTTATTTACAAAACATTCTTGAAATCTGAATTTTTCAGAATATTTTACAGTAAACCCTTGAGCATTTGCTAAGGGACAATTTATTTTCTTAACTTTGGTATAACTATTTAAAAAAATCACATCAAAACTGCTTTCAAACATTGAGTTGATCTTGCTATGTTTTGTTAACCTAACCAATTAAATCAAATTGTTTAAAACAAGTTAATTTAATAAAGAAAGAAAAACAAATAAGCAAATCATACAGTCAAAGCATTTGTCTAAGTGGACAATTTGACTGGTTAAACTCATCAGTCAATTTTATTAAAATATGCACACACAAAGACATAGCTTTATCTGAGTCTTAACTGTCAAAATATGATTTAGAACCAGACACTACAAAATGGCAAAGAGAGCTAAAACGCGGAGGGCCAATTTCCCATGTATCTCTTTGGATCCTATGAGAACTATTCAAAAGTTATAGATACGGACATTTTTACAGGGTACCAGGGTTCATTTGTGAATTCTTTCTTCTATTTAACATATAATTGAATTTGTATCAATAACTCAGTGATAAATTACACTTCTAAATGCGGATGCTTTGTTTAAAGGAATGTATCACTGGAAACTATTTTATAACATTATCTGATTACCTACCTAAATTACCTCTAATTTTGTTGCTAAATGCTTTAATAAGCAAGCAATTCAAATGTAAAAATGAAATGCTTAAAAGGTTTTTTTTATATCATTTTGTCTTGCTTTTCATTCAGTCATCATGATAACAATGGAGAGACTTTGGTTACTATAAAAAAATAATACGGCAGTTTCCATGTCATAGTATATTTCCAATGCATAGTATATTCACTGCATTTAGCCAGTGAAATAATCTCCCATATTTTTAATCAGGATATATTGCACTGGGCATTGTGAAGCAGCTATGGAAAAATAATATGGGGCAAAAAAGACATATTTGTGAGCTCCATCTCACTTTCTTACCATGAGTTAATCTGTAGTAATAAGAGTTTACCTATTATGTGTGTGATAGACAGACTTTGATGGAATAAATTGGAAAACTAAATGTGAAACCTGCTAGACTTCTGATAGGATAATACAGTTTGGGACTACCCACTGACTATGGGACAAAGGGGGCACAAATGAAAATGAACTTCTCTGCTACCAATGGCCAGAACCTCAGAAAGTGCCCAAGTTCTATGTGAAAAACATCCTTAACTAAAAGTGCTCCTAACCAGGGATTAAACAACAAGAAAATTAGATCCCAGTTTTTGCTCACTTGTTTCAGCACAAATCACTCTGATTCTTCATTTTCTGAGACCTTGGCCACTCTGCTTTTGAAACTTCTTGCTGCTTTCCTATCATAATGCTGGGTTGATGACATTTGACTCAAAATACTTTAAATTATTGGTGAGTTATGGGTAACTAAAGATACCAATCTAAAGACTGCCTGGGCAGGGCGGAGGTGGGGTGGGGTGGCTGTGCAGAGAGGTAATGGATGAGGTTCAGAAATGGGTGCTAAAAGCTGTGACCACAGGAGAGTTAATTGCTTCCACCTGGACTCAAGAACAGAGGTCAGAGTCTTGCTAGGATAACTTTAGAGCTTTATAGAGGGGAACACTCAAAGAAGGGAGTGGAACTTGAAACAAGATTTCAGGACAAAAGATAGCAATTAGGTAAAAGACTAAACAGATTAAGAGGCAAGCAATCAGTTGGTTGAGGGCATTAATCTAGCATAATTAATTAAGTTTTTAAACACATTGAATTTAAGTGTCAGGATAATACTCAAGAATGTTTAATTCTCATTTGGATTCATCAGTCTAGAATTCAAGAATAGAATATAGGCTAAAATCATGGTAATGACACAAAATAGCTTGAGGAGTACATATAGAGTAGAAGAGGATAAATGCAGAAGTTGAAGTATCAGTGGCCAGAGAAGACACACAGATGAGTATATTAATTAGACGCTGGATATCTAACACATAAAGAAAAACACTATTTATCTACTTTAAGAAGATTTTGACTAAAAGGACTAACATACCTAACATACCACTTAGCTTCAGGACAGATGAATCAAGTATGTGTGAGTTCATGCATGCTCAGTCACTTCAGTTGTGTCTGACTCTTTGTGATCCCATGAACTGTAGCCTACCCATTTCCTTGTCCATGGAATTTTCCAGAAAAGAAATATTGGAGCAGGTTGGCATTTCC